GCCGTGCGCGCCGCACGCGCCCAGCGCCGCGCCCGCGCTCGCGAACCTCTGCACAAGCACCGCGCACCTCTCCTTAACTTTCTACAACTTCCCACAACTTCCCACATGAGGGCATCATCACTACAATCATGTATTTTTATGTTAACTTGGTAGCTAATTAAGGTAGCCCGCCACCTACCATTTACTTGCATTGCATATTTTTTACTGATGACTATTTGTTACTGCATGCGGCATTTAAAACTATTTTTGGTGTATATGTACATAGGAACATGCAGTTGACTGCATCACCTGCATCACTTGAGTTATTTCTTGGGAGTGAGCTGCTACCAGCTCATCCAGTCTCGCATCACTCTTCTTGTACTCCTTCTCCAACTTGGCTCTCTCCTTCTCTCGCTGCTCATTTGTCTCACTCGCTGACAAGGTACGAATCACCGACATGAGCAGTCCACTCTGTAAATTGACAATAATATATTCCTACCAGAACTATGTACTATTTTCAAAACACTTTAAGAGACTTATAAATAAGGCAATGCTTTCTTTGATTTCTTTCTTAACATGATCAATTTTATGATATTTTGTTATTTCGCAAACATTCAAATGTAACAAATTAAGCAGTTATGTATGCAAACATGCAGTTAATATAATAACATATTTATATTGCTGTTGTTATTTAATAATATCATGAGTTTTTCTTTGATTCAATTTTTTTTCCTTTCTTTCTTTCCTTCCTTCCTTCCTTTTCCAAGCTGGTTAGATCAACAGTCTGATTCCTAGCTGATCCTAGCTTGCAATCGAATGCACATAAAATATACAATCAACATTGAACATAACATTTACTTTAGATTGAGAATAGGACCCAGCAAGAGCACTATATCAAAGTATCATCACACATGATCTGAGTTTAAGGAACATTACATATATAAAAGTGGACGAACATTCATTGATTAATTTTTATAATTATACAGCTATGATGGAGGCTAGGGCATACTACTAACATCTCAACATGTACAGTTTATATATAAGTTGCTAAATTAAGAAAGGTTTATCAATTACGTCAAACGTTAACACCCCTTTTCTTTTTTTTTTTTAGAATATTACCGTTTCTTTCCCTTGCTTAACACCTCGAGGTGGCTTTGTCGGCGGTGGAGATGACATTCTCAATGTATTTGGTATATTTATTATTTAATAATATTCAAACATTAAACACCCCAGTTTTTTGTTTAGACAAACCTCGCAAATGTCAAAAGTGTTTAAAACGTCAAATCATACAAACGTCAAATAAAACAGATAAAAATGACACGGGATGTGACTTTACTATTTTCATTCTGTGATTCTGTTTCTGTGGTCCAAGTGACAGCGACAGTGACATCTGTGAAACGCTTTTTGTCACTTTGTGTATTTTTAAACTTTAACGTATAAATTCAAACAAGAGTAAATGAAATATAGTTTTAATTTTTACATTCTAACTCTACGGCGATAGACATGAATTTTTCAACAGTAAGTAACAAAACTAATTTAACGGAGATGGAAGAATTGAGTGATGGTGAGATTAGTGAGAAATATTACTCGCTTCGAAAACAATATGATAATTTATCCAGCAATTACGAAGCAACTAAACAGGAACTTCATGAAGCCAAACGTAACTACCAAACAGCCTTAGATGTGCAGAGTCACTTGAACGCCGAGCTGGAGAGCGTGCAGGCCGGCGAGGAGAGACGCCGCGCCGAGCTCGGATCTCGCATATCGATACTGCAAGAACAAATACTGACTTTACGAGAGGAACACACGGAATCTGCGGAACGGCATGCGAATGAAGTGAAGGAATTAGAAAATGAGATTCGCCGGTTAAAAGAAGCAAACACAAACGTAGTCAGTAGAACATCTCCGGAAAGAGATACGGGGGAGTTGGATGAGATTCGACTCGCATTATCTTCAACCGCCTCGGAAGCGGCGTCTGCAAAGTCGGCCCTCGAAGAAGCGCGCAACGAAATTACATCGTGGCGACTTAAAGTTGAAGAACTGGTGACAGAAATGGGTGAGCTTAGAGCGGCGGCGGAGGTCCGATGCGAAGATTTGAGAGCCGCCAGTGAGCGCGAGGCCGCGGCGCTGGCCGAGCTGGCGGAGGCGCGCGCCGCGCTGCACCAGCTGCACGCGCAGAGCTCCCAGCCACATGGTCGGTACTCACTCCATTGTTTTATAATTGACTCAAGTAAACAATAAAAAGTAAGACAAAAAAGAAGTAAATTTGCGTTTCAGCTGCTAAGGGCAACTCAATATTTGCGGAAGTGGAGGATAAAAGACAAGAGATGGCCAAGAACTTGATACAAATGAAGCAAACTAATTCAAGGGTTAGTATATGTGTTTAGTAGTTTCATACGGGATGTACTTCTTGCAGTTGGGATGTAGTTCTTCTTAATGTTATCATTTACAGATTTCTGTGCTGAGTATTTGTTTCAATAATCCGTCAGTGTTGATGATATATAACAGCAAAGTTGTGATAGAAAAATGTTAAAACACTTACCTATTAGTCAACATTCAGGTGGTCTTACTTCATTAACAAGTGGTTAGCCTAGAAGGATTTATAAACATTTTTTTGGCTACATTCTACAGCTGCCTGCCCATTGCTAACACATCATAGTGTACTATATAAATTTTTACAGTCTTCTATTGTTATGCAGTATAGTAAATTATTTACAGCTGAGAAGGGAGGTGGCCAGCAAGCAGGCGGAGGTGGAGGCGCTGCTGCAAGAGAAGCAAGCGTTGTGGGAGGCGCAGGCCGGCGCCGCCGCGCTGCATGACCGCGAGCTACTCGGTCTGCATTGCACACAAACACACACACACACAGTTATACTCATCACCAGTGTACAATATGGCCACATTGTGGGAATCGGAGCCTACCATTAGCAAGGGGTGACTAGGCCATATTCACCATTTTGGTGCACTACTGGTTGGATAACTTCATACATATCTTTTAATTCATTCAGATATATATGCAGGTTGCATCACAATTTTTATTTCACCGTAAGTATGTCGGGTAAATTATGTACAAATGAAATTTGGAAATGACATTATCGGGATTCGAACCCACGATCTGATAACAAGTCAAGTGCTTTAACCACTGAGCCAACGATGCTCTTAACATACACTTACAATATGCATCTGCAGTGTTAATAATCTCTTTTTTATGGAAAAAGGGTACAAATGAGCAGTCTTTATTATACCAGTTGGTAATTAAACATCCCAAGATTAGCTTCTAGTTTATATGCAGTTGTAGGGTGGGCAGCTAATAATTGAAGTAAGGAGAGTGAATAGGGTTCAGTCTATTGACTAAATTATAGAATTTGGATATGATAGCTTTAAAAGCAGTTTGCCAATTAACAGTAACAGTAAAATTTGTATTGATTTATTAAGTGGTCGTGTAAGATGGACGCTTGGATAGATAGCTAGGGTGAGCATGGTTAGAGTGTGTGGTGTGCAGACGGGTACTGCGAGCGCATCACGCAGCTGGAGGGCGTGTGCGAGC